ATAAAAACATGTCTTCCTTCAAGTAAACAATAAACAGTCTGTTCTTGTTCCATTTGTAATCGAAAAAAGTAATCAATTTTCAAATTTTAAGCTTATCGAGGGCCTTTGTCTATGCCTTTGTGATGAATCACTGTTCCCTGGGGCTTGCACGCGGGCTAGGTTAATTAATTACCGATCGCCTCAGCTAGCCAATGGGAATTTAGCCGGCGGTTCGGCCGGCTAAAATCGAAAACATGGGGTGATGGTTGCAGGCCCACTATCAGTTCCCTTGGGCCTGCACGCAGGCTAACAAGTCTGCTGTAGGTTTGTTACAACCTGTGCCTTTTTATGTGTGTACTATAGAAATCATAGGCGATAAAAAGAAATGTGATCTGCACAAACGATTAGCGCACTATAGTATTCAACAATACACCAATACACTTACATTCAACGAAGCAATTTTCTGTTCGATCAAATCTCTCTCATGATTATCCTGCGGAAAGAACAAGACAATGTTATGCCCTGACAACACTAGAAAATGAAATGTCAATGTCTCTGAACAACTGTTGAAGATCGTTAGCTTTCTCCAGTCTAGCACGTCGTTCACTCGCCATGTTTGTGATCCTGAAATGACAGAAGATACACGAGATTTAAATACTAATTAAAGGATCTTTAATCCCTGGGGATGATTTAGTAAATGTTTCACTGTTTTATTTCATTGTTTCATACTTTTCATAACGCGTTGTGATTGTTTCAGCTTTTTCTTTGATAGTCGTGGAATCATGATGTTCTTTCTCAATGAATTTCTCAGCTTGTGCTTGGAGATCGTTGACGTGGTCCTAAGAATAAAACAAATTTTCATCAAAACTATGTCACCATTATCGTCATCATCATATCATCATCACTATCACAAATCGTCACACCCTCATCATCATCACCATAATCACATCACAATCATCATCACCATCACCATAATCACATCATCGCCACCCTCACCACCACCATCACCATTATCATCATCACTGTCATCACCACATCACATGATATCATCATCATCATCACAACCATAATCACATCATCATTACCCTCACCACCACCATCACCAATATCATCATCATCACCACCCTCACCAGCACCATTATCACCATCACACCATCACCACCATCATCACAATCACCATCACCACCCACCATCATAATTAACAATTTTCTTCATCTCATGTTACCTGATGCGCAGTGATATCAGCCTCCACCAGTTGGTGTTTTTTGAGCAAGTTCTGTGTGCTTGCTAAATCATGCCCACAGTCTTCTGATGATAGCAAAGTTTCAGTCTAGAAAAGATACCATTAAATATTTATATTAGTGGGGGGTGCAAATAACGTCACCACAGCTTTCAAAATAGTGCTCTATGGTGATTCTGGTAAATACAACTGTACAGTTTCTTGAGCTAGGTTGTCACCATATCAAGAAGAACGATGTACCCTATAGTAAAATGTCAGTATCTTTGCCATCAGTAAAAACTGATAAGTACTGTATACACTACAAGAAAAAACTAAATGTTCTATTGGTTTGCCGGGTTGAGCTTTGCTAGTCTTGAGTTCTGTATAAATGACAACCCTACCTCACCAAGCCAGTAATCCAATTCTTTCACATTGTTATTATATTGTTGTAGTTGATTAGACTCCATTAAATATCGCGACTTAGACTGCGATTGTTTTGTCAGCTTTTCCCAAATTTCTTGCAACTTCGTGATTCTCTCGCGTACAATTTCTTCATTGCTGGCGCATTTACGCTCCTCGATCAGCTCTACAGCGAAAACAGAGACACAAATGAATGAAAAGATGATGTACGACGCAGTTGTCAATAATTTAATCTTGTGAGCAGACTGTTTCCAGTTTGACTTTACTGCTTTCTACACTGTACATTTTTATCTCTGTTTTACTCCAGTAGTCACACTGGATCAAAAATGACCCTACTAGAACTGTAAGGAGAATAGTTTAGACTTCTCTAAAGATATTAAAAACTTACGGTTAGTTGTGGCAATGATATGCAAAACTCGTTCTTCGTTGGCTGCCATTTCTGCTTCAAAGGCTTGTTGTTTTTGCACTTTACTCTAAAGACATTAAGGTGAATTGGTCTGAACTTGACTTGTCCACAGTAATTCGATCAACTGCTAAAGAATATGAATATTAAGACAAAGATATACATGAATACCAAGTCAATATTCACCTGTAAGTTACTTGGGTCCATATAAGACTCGTCCTGAACTGATTGTAGTTTCTCACTGATCCAGGCTTCGATGTCTTCGGCATCGCGGGTGACTTGTTGAATGTTCTGACTTTCACCTAATTTAGAGCGACGTTCAACCAGGGCTGCTTTTAATTTCTGCCATCTAAAGGAAGACACGAAGTTATGCTAACCGCAAGTTGGTCTATGATGAATGTGAAGAACGGCAAACAAAGTCAAATCAATCAGTTCCAGAATATAAGCCGTGCTAGCGCAGTGGGTCACTGAGCTATGATGATGCACTATTTAAACACTCCATACAATACATACATTATATATTACATGTATACACCCAACTCATAATTCAACGTCTTTTCGACAAAAAAGTATCGAAATGATAAAGTAAACAGAAGCTGACAATTTTGATGGCACTCAAGAAATATCACAAAGAAATCGAAATATATATAATCTCAACAAGTGACGACCCTACCTTTCCAAAACAGATTCAACTCGTTCATTGATCGCTGGGGAGTCGTAGTGATCATTCTCAGTTAATTTATTGGCGTAGTCTTGAAGCGCTTTGATTTTCTCTTCCTGCAAATAAGAAAGTTTGCCTTTCAGTTTTGATCTTCGACCCATCAATAAGATGTACTCCCAAACGAAAAGACGACTATCAAATATATAGATCTCGTACTTGCTGTTTGATAGATTTTTCAATATTTTCATGAGTTTTGACCAGTTTATTAGCACCTTCGGGAGAGCCACCGACTTCTTCAGTTCGAATGATTGCTTCACGAGGCGCCATCCAAGACTCGAGCTGCTCTGCATCCCGATTGAATAACTGCAAACAAGTTGTAAAAATCAATCTACAGTATACTTATGACCGCGGCAACACGTTGTTTGATGCAATACTGACCTGTAACTCAAAGCATTGATCCAATTTGTCCTTTCTTTCAGCCCAAGCTCTAAATGAAAAATAAAGGATGACCTTACTGGACAACTAGGGAGAACAGTTTAGAACTAACAATACTACCCAGTAGAAATAAGTTAGTTTAGTTTAGGTTTCCTCCTGTAGTAACACTGGATCAATAAGGGATGATCTTTACTGGACCTCTACACTCTAAAAACACTCTGGTTAAATTCAACCAGGAATTGGGTTAATAATCCACCCAACACATTCTGGTTAAATATAACCCATTTCCTGGTTAAAAATTATCAATTCAACAAAAATTTGGTACACTTTTTTTGACTTTTAACCAGGAAAATGGTTAATTTTTTTTAACCAGACTTGTGTAAGTGGATTTTTAACACCGTACTGGTTGAATTAACCCAAATTTAACCAGAGTGTTTTTAGAGTGTAGGAAGAACAGTTTAGAACTGATAGAGCTATCCAGTAAAAATACAGTTAGTTTAGGTTTCCTCCTGTAGTAACACTGGATCAATAAGAGACGATCCTTACTGGACCTCCAGGAAGACCAGTTTAGAACTGATAGAGCTATCCAGTATAAATAAAGTTAGTTTAGTTTAGGTTTCCTCCTGTAGTAACACTGGATCAATAAGGGATGATCTTTACTGGACCTCTAGGAAGAACAGTTTAGAACTGATAGAGCTATCCAGTAAAAATACAGTTAGTTTAGGTTTCCTCCTGTAGTAACACTGGATCAATAAGAGACGATTCTTACTGGACCTCCAGGAAGACCAGTTTAGAACTGATAGAGCTATCCAGTATAATTTGTATAAATAAAGTTAGTTTAGTTTAGGTTTCCTCTTGTAGTAACACTGGATCAATAAGAGATGATCCTGACTGGACCTCAAGGGAAAACGGTTTAGAACTGATAAACGCTGTTTCACAAGCAGCATCTTCCAAACTTTAATCTCCTTACTTTTCCAAATCTTTTCTCTCGTCATCGACAGTTTGAAGTTTCTCTTCAATCTCGGGTTGTGCATAATGCTCTTTCTCGGCCAGTTCTTTCCCGAAATCATTGAATCTCGTTATTGAGTTGACGAACCTACACGAGCAAGAAGCTTTGATATTATTTCGTCAACAGTCAGGGTGTGTTGGTAACACACTAACATAGTGGTCAGTGCATGAGCCTTTGCGAATGAGGTTTGGTTTCTGCAATATACAGTTTTCTCATCATAATTTTCCCTCAGTCGCATGCGAGACGAGCGCTTTCAGTTTGACTCAAAAACCCTTCGACCAATAAGAGATACTTTCACTGGACCTCTAGGAAGAACAGTTCAGAACTGGTAGAGCTATCCAGTATAAAGGAAGTTAGTTTAATTTAGGTTTCCTCCTGTAGTAACATGAAGAAAATATATGGCAATAACTGAAGCTCTAGGAAGAACAGTTTAGAACTGATAAAGTTAGTTTAGTTTAGGTTCCTCTTGCAGCAATACTGGATCACCAAGGGATGGCCATTACTGGACCTCTAGGAAAAACATTTTAAAACTACTAAAGTTAGTTTAGATTTTTACCTTTTCTTCAAGTGCAGCGAGGTCTCGCTCTAAGACGTCGTGTTTTCGCTGTAAGGCCTGGACACTAGCTAAATCTCGGCCATAATCAGCAGATGAAAGCGCAGTATCTTTCTCTGATATCCAGGCTTTGGTATCGTCTGCATCACTACATGGGAAACACAGAGCTTTGGTTAAAATATACGAACTTTATTAACTACATAATTCATAGAAACATCCATACCGATGGAATTTCTGGATTTCTTGAGCACTTTCCAAAGCTTGCTGTCGTTTCTCGGAAAGTTGTTGAAGTTCCTCCCATCTTTCTGTCAAACGTTTGATAATTTCCTGGATCATCTCGTATTCACGACGATGCTCAACCTTCAATTTCTCAGAAATGATCGTCAATTCTTTGATACGCACCTCGATAGTACGCATGTCCTGGAAATATATTAATAAATTTATTAATACTTCACGCCTCGTTTTCAACACAGAATATATTTGCGAAACTCATTAATAATTCATGACGAAAACATAAAAGAAATCATGACCGTGAAGGAGTTTGTATGTCTGATACAAAATCAAATGATATTCGAACCTTTTGGTAGTCATCAAACTTCTTTTTCTGTGCTTCAACATGCTCAAAGTCGTCTCCAACCTCCTCTGACGTCACCACGGCAGCCTGAAAGAAAAAGAAAATAAGGCATACAGTTAGTTAAGAGAACAAGAAAGGAACCCGTGAACAAGCTTCTAAACCGTGAACCAGCTTCTAAAGCGTGAACAAGCTTCTAAAGTAAGGAAAAACTTCTAAAATAAGAACAAACTTGTACATAAGTCTTTTTCACATTCATTCTGCTCAGTACTCCCGAATCATTCGTACTCTGTCCCACGTTTTAAGTTTTTGCACGCTCGTAAGCTCGTACATTAATAAATATTTTAAACCAGAAAGCGTCCAAAAATTTAACATAAGTAATCCTGATTTCGCCTCAAACATTTTTAAATCTAGCCCACCTTGTCGTTAATCCACGACTCGATCTCGTGAGCTTCTCGTAACAAGCCGTGTCGCTCAATCGATTCTTCCAGCTTCTTTCGCCTCTCAGCTCCAGATTCAAGAAGATCTTGGTATTTCTTGTCAAGAGCATCTTGCCTTTGGGAAACCGTGTCAACATCTTCTGCTTTGTCAAGTAAATCTTGTGACGCGGTCTTCGAGTCAATTCTCTTCACGTAAGCTGCAGGGACAAAACCTTGACGATCATTTGTCTCCACCTTCCACCAGTCCTAAGGAATAAAGTTTTAAAAACTCATTAATAATTCGTGAGGAAAGACAAAGGAAATCACTAGCGTGTGACGTGTCGATGGTTTCATATGTGATGAACAATCATGTTAATGTACAGGAACTTTAGATTTGATTTTTTTGGCTTAGACAACGTTTATTTTTAAAATGACTTCGCCAATGAACTCATAAGATCGATCTTTGTTTAAGCCATTTAAAGCACTCGCAGTCGTGCTTTACCTTATTTGTTGAATTGAGCAGTGTCAATATGTCGCCTTTTGTCATGGAGACCTCACGAGCAGTCTTCTCTTGGTAATCATACAGAGCTTCCACGCATTCCCGATCACTGAAGTCTTTCACTGGAGTTATAGTCTAAGTGTAAATAAAATTGAGAAAAATGAACCATCACCATCATCATTACCATCATCATTACCATCACCATCACTACCATCACCGTCATCATTACCATCATCATTACCATCACCATCACTACCATCACCATCATCATTACCATCACTACCATCACCGTCATCATTACCATCATCATCATCGTCATCACTACCACAATCATTCTGCCATCACCACCATCATCATCAACAACGTGACACAATTACCCACTACCACCATTACTCACCACAACAACCACCATCATCACTATCATGCCCCTCTCCATAGATATCTTATATACACTAGATAGCGCATCTCTTTTAGTAAAATTGAAGCCAAGAATATTCCAGCGGTTACCCCCATTTGAATAGATGGCGGCCATGTTGGAGTTTCCCACTCGCTAATAAACGCTTAAAAAACAACAATAACTTTCATCATTTGAATAGTTCGAAAATGCATTTGGAATAGGTTTAACTTAATGTTTAAGTTCCCTGTTTAAGAAATAGAAAACATACGAGTCTTCTCATTTCATGGGAATATCCTGAGTCTGCAATCACGGCTTCAATTTTTGAATTGCAGAATAATTAGATGCACTATCTAGTGTATATAAAGATATCTAAGGCCCCCTCCCCTTACACTGCGACCACCACCCCCAAACTCACCTTACATGTCTTACTCTGATCACGGAGTTGATCAACAACTGTGCCATACGCTTCAAGATCAGACATGACCGCATTATGTTTCTTTAACATCGCCTGAGCACTGTCCTCATCTTTACCGTAATCTGTACTGGTTACTAATGGTTCCTTCTCAGTAAGCCAGGCCTCTGCTTCAGTAACATCGGCCAAATACTGATACGCATGAAGTGAATCGTCTAGATCGTCCTTACGACAGGCTGCATTATCCTAGATAAAAGAAATTTTGTAATTTACATGTAATCAATGTTTTAAAATATCCTCCAAGTACGTACAGTAAACAATTCGGTTAGCACCCTCTCTCTGTAACGTACTATCGTTAGATTTATTTAAAGACAGTGTTATTGGAACAAAATTTTTGACCCACTTCTTTAGATTAAAAAAGAGTCCTTTCCTTCCTGACCTGATCACCGCAAACAGAATTAAAATTGGTCAATTCAAACCTATTATATAGCCTTCCAAAGTTGCATTTTTGGCACTTCCTACATGGGCGTTCAAGCAGGGAGACCAGGGTGAAATCCTTGGTTGGACCTCTACTCGAGATCTTATTGAGGAGAAAGTGCTACCTTTACATTGACATCAGTAAATGGTTAGATTTTCGCGTCTTCTCGGATAAGGAAGTTAAATCGTAGGTACCTCGGATCCCCTAGCAATTGGGAATAGCCTGTTGGGGCACCAATGAATGAGGAACTCAATAAACAAAATTTGATCGCCCTCAATATATACCTTGAGTTGCATCCATTGTGTTTCCAGGTCATCCATTTTCTCCTTGATCTCATCTTTTCTGAAATGATCTTTTTGGAAAGAAGAGAACAATAAATTCGTGTGATGAAGCAAAACTAAGAAATTCGCGTATTCAAAATGTACCTTCGTCGATCATTGTTCTTCCGTCATCCATAAGGTTTTGAATTGGTGTGGGGAAAATGGATTTGATAACTGCGAATTCGGTAGGTGTGCATTGCAACAGTAAAACCCTATCTGGATATACAGTACCTCGTTTAACAACGGTTGGTATGTGGGATTATTCTGTTCAGATTACTTCGTTCAAAGCCTACCTTCAACTTTTCATATCTCGTCATCAAAGCCGCTTTCTTTGCCACGATGGTCGGAGCATCAAAATGTTCCTGTTCCGAAAACAAGTCTGCCTGGGTTGAACACACGTCGATACGTTCTTGTTTAGTTATGATATCTCCTTCAAGCAAACCATGTTTCTTCTGAAGATTTTGGACACCCGAGAGATCCTAAACACACCATTTTGCACATCAAAATTATAAATCACTTGTCTTACTAGAAAAATGCTATACTTTTGTTTACAGAAGCGATATATAGTCTACCTTTCCAATGTCTTCGTTTAGCAACTGAGCTTCCATATCTGTGATCCAGATGTCCATATCATCAATACCCCTAAAACATTACATAAACATGGTATCCCAGATGAAACTACAGGGGAAAATGTAACTATTTGCCCTCTGGTAGGAATCGAACCTGGGATTCCGGTGCAGTGCTCTAACCCACTGAACTACAGTACATACGGAGGCCAGTTGTCGAGCTCTAACCACAAATTCATGTATATATACATGTACAAGGTAATACCAGTGCTTAATGTATGGGTAAATAAATTTCGATTATTATTAATACCAACCTATTAAATTGTTGCTGTTGTTTCGCGTCCCGCAGTTTGTTGCCTTTCTCTTGAGTTTTCTCAAGCAGATGCTTCCAAAGTTCGTCAAGTTCATCCAATCTCTGCTGTATAATATCTGACGCATAGTGTTCATTGCTGATCAGTTGCTTTCCCTTGTCGTGTATCGAGTCGATGCGGCTTTGGTTGGCTTCCAGTTCTGCATTGAATGCTTCGTGTTTCTGAGCTTTCCTCTGAAGATTTGTTGGATCCTGTTGCAGGGGTGTTAATGGCAGACTGATTAGTGTCGGATCTTTGTAGCTCTATGATTGAGGCCGCTGCCTGCAGTTTTCTGATTATAATTTAACTTAATGTGAGACGAGTGCTTGACTCGACCACCACAGGTTTTTTCAGGTTTCCTTTTGTAGAAATATAGATGGTCCTTACTGCACGAACCTTTAGAACTGATAGAGCTATCCCGTATAATAAAGTTAGTTTTAAGTCAGATTTCCTCCTGTAGTAACACTGGATCAATAAGAGATGATCCTTACTGGACCTCTAGGAAGAACAGTTTAGAACTGATAGAGCTATCCAGTATAAATAAAGTTAGTTTAGTTTAGGTTTCCTCCTGTAGTAACACTGGATCAATAAGAGATGATCTTTACTGGACCTCTAGGAAGAACAGTTTAGAAATGATAGACCTATCCAGTATAAATAAAGTTAGTTTAAGTCAGATTTCCTCCTGTAGTAACACTGGATCAATAAAAGATGGCCTTCGCTGATCTGATAGAGTTTAGAACAGATGAAGCTATCCAGTACAAATAAAGTTAATTCAGTTCAGATTTCGTTCTGCATTAATACTGGATCAAGAAGAGATGGTCCTTACTGGACATCAACAAATGATAGCGTAGGCCTATCCAGCGTAAAAAAGTTTGTTTAAAGTATGTACTCTGTATTGTGATGACTATATTTTCTACCTTATAAGATTCGTCAGTAGCAATTTTAAGTTTCTCATTGATCCAGGCTTTAGTTTCATCAGCTTCTTTTTCAAATTGCTGTAACTTTCGAGATTCTTCCAACAACTCTCGTCTTTTCTCTGATTTCTCGTGAATGTTCTGACGTCTGGTGACAATCTGTAAATTGAAGGTTAATGTTTTTGAGATTAGCTGTGCTGGTTATGATGGTGGTGGTGATGGTTATAATGATGATGGTGGAACTGGTGGTGATGGTTATGATGGTGGTGGACTGTGGTAGTACTGGTAGTGGTGATGGTTATGATGGTAGTAATGGTTATGATGGTAGTAATGTTGATGGTGTTAGTGACAGTCAAGTGATGATGGTACGATTATATTGTAGTAATTGATCATGATGATGTGGTAACTCCAAATGACCAACTTACCTCATTTCGTCTTTCGTCAATGTCAGGCGCAGCATAATGTTCATTTTCAACAAGTTTTGTCGCCGTTTCATCAACGTCTCTGATCTTGTCTTCTTGCGCAGCAAAGGATTTAGCAAAGTCATCATGTTTTCTTATCAAGGCATCGACTGCATCGAGAGAGTCTCCAACATCCTCATCAGACAAGATATTCTAGGAAATATAGTGTAGGTTTCACTAAGCACTATCGTGCAGTAAATGGTGGTCAATCTGCAGTTATCAGATGAGAGAACAATGATAACGCCAAAACGAAAATTTTAAAAATATCATGGCCATTATATCTTTTAAGATACTTCATTATTTCAATAGTAAAATTCTATGCCCCTCCTAACTCAATGCTTTAATGCATGTTTGGATGTGCCAACAAAACTTTACCTACACGGGTTTTTCAAGCACAGGGATGTTACCCAACCAAAATAAATCCCTGTCCTCAGCTCTGAACAACTTTCTACAAGGTCTGCAATACTTTCAATAACGTCTATATCCTCTCACCTCTTGTTTGGCCATTTGGTTATCAGCATTCTGGCAATCTCGGTAGAAGAGTTGCAACTCTAGACTTTGATCTAGAGTCACTTTGCGTTGTTCCCACAACTCGTACAGGGACGTCTTCTCTGTCTCAAGATTGTCCAACTTTTCTTTGATCTCCTCAGCAGCATAATGGTCACCATCAACTAGTTCTTTACCAGAAGTGAAAAATTTATCAAATCCTTCTTGTTGCGCATCAATGTAACCCTATGGAAATAAACACAAGTGTAGAAAGATATCTTTCCAGGCAGGGGTTGTTTTTTTAAATCTGTAAAGTTCTACAGCCATTACCTTTACATTGTAACTGACTCATGACATAGTATACACAGTGAGCACTGGTATTTGTACAGTAAGTATAGTTAAGCTGAAGTTCAAGGACTATACAACAGGCCTCTGTTGCAAAATGTTTTTGAGAGTTTTGTGATGATCACCTTATGTTCTTGATGTCTCTCAATCAACATCTCTGCTCCGGCAACATCCTTCGCGACTTCATCTGTTTCAATCAGAGTTTTCATCTCAGTGATAAACAAAATATGTTCTTTATAGTCAGCTAGTAGTCGCTGTAAGTTGTACGCATCTTCGAGTCTTGTCCTTCGCACTGCAGACTACACAAATATAACAAAGGTAAATACATTACCTATTCAGCTATTTTATGTCGTCTTCTACCACTCTAACTTAGAGGCTTTGCTTCAATCGTCTCATCTACACTTTCAAAGGTTAGGCTAGCAAAAAAAATTTACCACAAAAGATATATATTTCAAGGTGCTATCTACGCTGAGAATCAACCAATTGAAGTTGCTGGTGTGGATCTACCACAAATGATCAGTATATTCGAAGACTATTAGATATGTTGAAAACCAACTGTTTGAAGTTTAGACTAGTAAGACTATACCACAAAGGAAATGTATTTCAAGACCACAACCCATACTGAGAACCAACTCTTCAAAGTTTAGGCTGGTGAAAATCCACCACATGTATTTCAAAACTACTATCCAAGGACCACATGGAGAACCAACTAATGAGAATTGACTTATTGAGAAACTACCACAAAGAACACATGTATTTCAAGACAGTGCACTGAGCTGAGAGGATAAAGCTTCTTCAGTGTGCATTATACCTTTTCTTTCAAGCCTTCCCAAGCCTGTACTAACTCTTCTTTCTTCTCTTCGATGTCCTCAGCCACTTCAGGATGGCTTTCCTTCAGCTGGTCACACTCACTGCCAAGGTTCTGAACCTTGTCATCCAGTGCTACCAGATCTCTTTCCAGACCATCGTGTTTTCGTTTCAAAGCATTCACGCTTGCAAGATCCTTGCCGTAATCATCTGAAGATAATACTGTATCTTTCTCAATGATCCATTGAACTGTTTCATTCACTTCTCTAGAAACACATAAATAAGACCATCAGGTGATGATGGCAGTGGTGATGATGATGAAGATGGTGATGATGGTGGTGGTGGTGGTGATAATGATGGTAGTGATCATGATGGTGGTAATGATGGTGATAATACAGTAGTGGTAGTTTTGATGATGGTGGTGGTGATCGGATGATCATAATGGTGGTAATGATGGTGATAATCCTGGTAGTGATCATACAGTATCAGTGGTGTTTTCGTGATGGTGGTGATAATGGTGATGGTGGTGATAATGGTGATGGTGGTGATAATGGTCATGCTGGTGAAGCAGCAGAGTATTTACCTGTAAAAAGAATGAATCTCATGGGAACTGGTCAGTTTTGTTCGACGGACAATAACCAGCTGATGTAGTTTATCCCAAGCCTCATTTACTTCCTAAAAAAACATGATTAAACTCCACTATGAGTTCAATAACTTACAAAAATTTTTGCATCAAAATACATCTGACAGAATAAGTACTTCCAAATTTGTTTGAGTGCGCTGTATGAGAGACAATGTCACAATGGTACAAGGTTGAGGCCAGCAATGACTTGACTATAGCTGAATATGATCACATCTATTATTTTGTGTGCACTCAAGTCAATTTAGAAAGTGTCTATTTCTCATTAATTACCACTCGTTTGGCCTGGATGACTTCAATGTCAGGGTGGCCCTCGACTTCCAATGTATCAGCTTGCTGGTTGATGCTTTTAATTCGATTCTCATTTGCATCCAAATCTTTTGCAAAATCTTCCAGTTTCTTTTGCAGAACCTCAACATGTTCAAAGTCACGAACACTTTCTTCTGTTGAAACAATCACTTCCTGAAGTAAATAAAATGCACCCCATTGGGTCAAATTCCATTAGGGGTGAGCCGATCATCGGCAAAACATTGGCAAACCCGATTAATTGGCTTGTTTTTTCACAATCGGCCGATTGTCTTTCACCATCGGAATGGTCAGCGGTGTTAGTCAAAAATATAGAAATTTCAAATCTTTGGTGTGGAAACACTGATCGAAAGTGGAAACACTATGTTTTTTATTCCCTGCGCTCTACTTAATACTTTGTAAATTACTTAATTGTGAAACTATTAATAGTTGTTTTCTGCAAAATTTAATTAATTTATTGTAGTCTGTGACTCCGTGGACCAATCAGATCTCACCAGTAACACGATGTTGATTTCACAATGCTGAGAAATGTCGCTGTGTTCCTTTAAGTTTGTCGTCGCGTTCCTTTAAGTCACATGCATCAGCAGTTTTAGTAATAATAAGCAACCATCGGTTTTGCCGATTAATCAGCTGATGGTCGGTAAATATCGGCTCTTAACAATCGGTATCGGCAATCAGCTTTTTTTAAACATCGGCTCACCTCTAATTTCCATACATAATCCTAATCCTTATCCCAGATTCCTAACTTTAATCTAAATCTTAACCATGAACCCTTATCCTAATATTATACCTAACCTAATCTTTTAATCTTAATCCTAATCCTAACACCAATCATAATCTAGCACCTTACTTAATCCTAATATTAAAGGCAACACTAATTCTAACATCCTAACACCAATCCTAACACAAATCCTAATCCTATCACTAATCCTAACATTAAACCTAATCCTAACATTAATCTTAACACCAGGGCTTGACTTTTATCACTGCAATCGCTGTAGAGGATGCTGTGGATCATTGCGGCAACGACAGCATTTTTTTGCCGTATAGTATAATTTTTATACTATTCACTGTGCATTACTCTTTTGATACTTGAATTCAGATGTTGATCAAATCATGTGTAAATTACTATTTTAGTCTCAGTTTTCTTCGAAAAAAAACACTAAAGAAATAAAAAAACATGTTTCTAGCTTGTCATTTGTCAATAATCCAAAGTAACAATAAAATTAAATTTTTATTACAGTAATTTGAAAAAATGCCATGAAAACTGCTAAAATTGCCATAGACAGCTGTTACGTTCTACAGCAATTTTTAACGCCACTGCCGTAAATTGATTTCAGGGAAATTTGAGGCCTGCCTAACAATAATTCCTAATCCTAATACCAATTCTAACACTAACCCAAACATTAATCCTAACACTAAACCTAATCCAACATAATCCTCTAATCTTTACATACATGGTGTGCTATGTAACTTACCCTGTCTGCAATCCACATCAACACTTCACTGCATTCTCGAATGAAGTGAATTCGCTTTTGCGTAAATAACAACATACGTCCTTTCTCAGCTGACTGCATCAACAACAGTTCCCATAGATGCATCAAGTGATCTAGTCGCTCCTGAAACAAATATTCAATAACCTTACAATTAACAACATTACATACAACAGTAACAACACATGACAATAGTTACACCACCATCATCAACAAGTTTTATAACAACAACAACCACAACAACAGCATGCAGCAAGAACAACAACAGCAACAATTACAAAAACAACAAATATAACAACAGCAACAACAACAACAACAACAACAACAACAACAACAACGAAAACAACAACGACAACAACGACAACGACAACAACGACAACAACGACAACAACAATGACAACAATGACAACAACAACAACAACAACAAAAACAACAAATATAACAACAACAACAACAACAACAACAACAACAACAACAACAACAACAACAAAAACAACAAATATAACAACAACAGCAACAACAACAGCAACAACAACAACACCAACAACTATGTCAACAACAACAACAACAGCTACTTGTTCCAAACATTCCTAAAAATCAATACTTCGTACCCTGATTGTAACTGACTCATAATGTTCTTCCGTAATCATCTGTTCACCCGTCGTCTTTATCGTAATGATGGTGTTGGTATGAGCAGAAATTTCTGCCTCAAATGCCTGATGTTTCTGTAGCTTAACCTGCATAAAACAAAAGTTTACTTTTAGTGCAAGGAAACTTGATTTGCCACTAAAGATCAAGCAGCGCCAAGCCATACACTAGGGCATACTGGAGGCATGAAAACAGACAAAAACATACATTTCTGTGTGAACAAATGTAACTGGAATAATTTGGGTATGATTCTGAATTGAAGTGGCCTTTCAACCATGAATGTGACAGTCGATAGCTGGGGGCATCGTGGGTGATGTCTGTGACTCTCAGACAAAAATGTTGACTGTATGTATTTGCACACCCAAAATAAACAGGACATATTGCAACAAATATTGATTCTGTTTTGAAAATTTTGGAATAATCTTCAGCATATTCTCAAGAGATGGATAGTGCTTTCCATGCAATTTGATTGGTTGCACAGCTCCAGATAACCTCCGGACCAAAATACAATATATCTTCCCATTTCATTCTGGTTACAGCCAAGACAATTTTTTCTGTGTTGCTGTAAATGAAGCTTGTGATGTTACTCTGAGTGTATATCCACACGGCAAGCTTGAAAAATATGCCTATATTTTTCAAACTGGCCCGGTGTGGATATACACTCAGAGTATAACATCACAAGAGCCAAGACGAAGCTGCAGTTTTGCAAAACACAAAGAAACAATCATTTCACCTCAGTCTTCTGAAGAGTGCAAGGATTTTCATCTCGAATAGAGGTGAATATCCTTGTACTACTTGTCTCTACTTCAGTGAATAATTTAAATATAGCAGTGTCCAACTTGGGAATTGTAAATTGTAACAAGTTAACAACTTCTCACTGGCCAACAATAAAATTTACAATTTATAATGCACAAGTGCAACAATATTAATATATGAAAACAAAACCATCCCCTAAATTAGTTACAGCTTTCGTTTTTGTGCTAAGCAAGCTGCACATCATCAAATATTTATCAAAACCTTTTGACCTATCGACGTTTGATCCGAGACTCGCGGGCGTTGTCAAAAAATCACACTATTTATTATGTGAAAAATGTTTTCCTTGAAGCGAAATTTACCGCGCTATAAAGTTATAAAAAGTTATCAAATCTTGTAGGATAATACCTGTAGATTTGTAGCATCTTTAAACGACTCGTCTGAGGCAATTTGTAGCTTTTCGTTGATCCAAATCTCGCATTCATCAACGTCTCGTTTCCACTGGTGATAACGCTTCGCCTCCTCCAAGCGAATTCGTTTCAGACGCGTTGCTTCTTTAAACTCCGCATAACGACGTAACACTTGCTCCCTACGCTTCTCTATATCTTCGACTGTCTCTAGGACAGGTATTTCTCGCGATGGTACTTGAATTTCGGTCATTTTTCCCAGCAAAAACACACAAAAAATACAACCTAACAACACTTGCAAACTTGCTGTAGTGCTGTTGTGCAGCTGTGTGCGAGCGAAGAGTCTGGAAATAGTTCGTAATTCTGAGACGAAAGAATGTGATTGGCTAAAATTTACATTCCAAATGCTCATTATCTCTCTAAATGTATTTTTAAAACGCTGTTATTCTCATTGTAAACTTGTGTATTTAGCGGCAAATATCATAAATAGAACTGAGAGATATAGTTTAATTTTTGTCCTGTAAACGATAAATTACTCAAGGGTTGGGTAATAAAAAATTATTGCTATTTCCAAAGCATGGCTAAAAAGCAATGTCAACAGTCATATGTCAATTACATTATCTTGATCATTTTCTGATTTATCAGAGTGTCTCCAAAGAAAGTACATGTGCAGACAACATGAAACTTTGTACTGTTATCAAACTCATGTCAGAAGTGGTAAAGGACTTGTGTGACAACTGATTGGTATGCGTTTATAAAGTTTTTGGCCAGGGTGGGTATTTATTTTTTAATTGATATTTGACAAAATCTTTACCAATAAAAACATTTCTCTTGGACTTGGGTGCAACCCCCCCCCCCCCCATAAATAATGATCGCCCCCCCTATCACGCCCTGTACTGCAGTGGCCCCAACAACAGCATAGAACAAAACATTTTCCAAAAGTTAATAATATTTTGCACAGCTAGGTATGAATATTTACAGGTAGAAGAGAATTTGAAGCTACATATGAATCTATGTTCTATCATGAACTGGGAAAAATCTCGCGTACAGATGACCCAACTCTGCTATGTTTCCGAGAAATGTAGACTTGACGACATTTTTATGACGACCGTCCGGTATCTCGGTTACAATTCTTGTGTTCACTGTTGGAGGATTCTCCTATTTAAAACACAATTAAAGGATGTAAGAATTCACTGTCGAAGGGGAAAAATAAAGTTGGGTGCATTGAGGACGATTTACACTACACAAGTTTTGCCTAAAGTAAAACTGTCGCGTGCAACCTGCTTACAACTTGAGTTGCACTGTGTAAATCAAGCACACAACTAACCTACGACAACGTACGAGAATTGTATGCTTGATTTACACAGTACAACTCAAGTTGTAAGCAGGTTGCATACGACAGGTTTACGGCCAAAGTTGTGTAGTGTAAATCGTCCTCAATGTGCAACGCAACTTACCTTAAAAAATGCCCATATTGTTTCAAGCAGTTTGTGAATTTCCTTGGGTGATATGATATGAAAAATATCTCCGCCTAGGCACAGAGGTCTGGGCAACCACATTGCCTTCCTGAGTATGGACATAATTTGAACAGAAGCGTATAGTTGCGTTGGGCAGTCGTACGTGTTAGGCTCCCTGCATTGTTCCCAGAATTTGAGAATTGACGAGAATAAACCATGTATGATTGGTAGACAGTTTGGTAGAACACGAGGAACTAAAATGAAACACAAAACGCATTGAGAAGATCAGGGGCGTAACCAGCCCCAAACGAGTGGGGGGGAGGGGGTCTTGGATGTGCAAAACGCCCAAATCATAAAATTAACCCTGGATGTATATAATCGTGAAGAAACAGTCACCTTCTGCCAACAAGAACAACAAATGCCAAAATATTTCGCTCTCATCAAACTGTTTTAGTACTGATACATCTCTAGAAGAACACAAAATCATGTATATTAAAATTTAAGAACTTTTAGACGCAAGTAGTTTACGAACTATTTTATCTTTCCCCAAGTTCGTCCAGACGCACCCCATCCATCTTCATCGTGCAGGGGGGGGGGGTGCTACTTTTCATGATAAAGCAAAAAATTATTGGAGACAAAATGAGATACAGTAATTTGAGTAATAACATGATGATAAGCGAACTGTGAACAACAATTACAATTCAAATACAGTAGTCAAGCAAGACTTTGCAGTAGTGAAGCAAGTTGATGGGCGGGCGGCACACATGACCGACACAACTCGGCACCAGAGCTGGCAGAGCAACCCCCCCCCCCCCCCACAGATCATGCTGGATCCATCCCTGACTACCCACACTATGAACGCAGGAGCTTTACCTTCCAATAGAATACTTGATATCGTCCTCGTCAGGCCACGTACCACAGTCAAAAGTCCCATCTACCACTATAAGATCTTTTAGTAATAACGCTAAATTTGCAAATATTTTAACATTATGTGGCTCCATGGCGCTTGGGTTTGGAGGTCGGGAACTATGGCAGATTGTGTGTATACATTGAAGGAAAAATTGAGAGTTGCTCTGGGAAAAGACCTAAGAAGTGAAATAAATTATAGTCAAACTTTATTGGCGAATCCATTATAAACAAAGTTAGCTTAGTTTAGATTTCCTCCTGCAGTAACACAGGATCAATAAGAGATGATCCTTACTGGACCTCTAGGGAGAACAGTTTAGAACTGATAGAGCTGTCCAGTATAAATAAAGTTAGTTTAGTTTAGGTTTCGTCCTGTAGTAACACTAGATCAATAAGAGATGATCCTTACTGGAACCTCTAGGTAGAACAGTTTAGAACTGATAGAGCTGTCCAGTATAAATAAAGTTAGTTTAGTTTAGGTTTCCTCCTGTAGTAACACTGGATGAATAAGAGATGACCTTTACGGGACCTCTAGGAAGAACAGTTTAGAACTGATAGAGCTGTCCAGTATAAATTAACTTAATTTAGTTTAGTTTAGGTCAATAACTCTGTAATGGACCTGCAGTATTTCTTGCTCTTCAGATTTCTTTCCTTTGCCAATCACACCAAGATAAAATACAGAAGCAGTATTAAGCGGCAATCGAGATGAAATCCCCGGAGTTATATTTTTACTAAACAGTGAATTGTCGGACTTTCCTGCAGTTTCTTGCGCTAAAAAATAACATTTGAAGTAAGTATGTGGGGGTGTGCTGAACATCGTTACTTGCATCTGAGAGCTTACCTTGTTTACGCTTGCAAAATAAACTTTTGTTTTCTTGATGAAAAGCACCCTCCATAAAATGTCGGACAGCCAAAATCTGGCAAGGTTCGTCGCGACAAATGATCGACAGCAACACCTGGTATTTCTTTAACATATCTAAACATCGATGCCGCACCTCGTACCCTTAACGTGAAAGAAATGCACAACTGTTCACTCTGGACGTTTGGCCATCCCTTAGTCCAGGAGGAAACTAAACTACAACTTTAAGGCTCTTTTACTTCTAAAGTGTTCCCCATAGACGTCCAGCAAGGATCGTCCCTTATTGGTCCAGTGTTACTACAGGAGGACACAGGAATACCGACAGATGAACAAACATAGATAAGATACCTGTAGTCCTGCCTGACCTCTGGGGAGAACAGTTTAGAACTGCTAGAACTATCCAGTATAAATAAAGTTAGTTTAGGTTTTCTGCTGTAGTAACACTGGATCAATACGGGATGATCCTTACTGGACCTCTAGGAAGAACAGTTTAGAACTGATAGAGCTATCCAGTATAAATAAAGTTAGTTTAGTGTAGGTTTCCTCCTGTAGTAACACTGGATCAATAAGAGATGATCCTTACTGGATCTCTAGGAAGAACAGTTTGGAATTGATAGAGCTATCCAGTATAAATAAAGTTAGTTTAGTGTACGTTTTCTGCTGTAGTAACACTGGATCAATAAGAGATGATAGAAAGAACAGTTTAGAACTGATAGAGCTATTCAGTATAAATAAAATTAGTCTAACACTTACTACATGTGACCAGAGGCGTAACTAGAGCGTGTATATTCATATATTCGTGTTCTGCCCGACGAATTTCTTTTGAATTTCTTTGTTTTTAAGTTCATTTCAAAAGAAATTAGTCGGGCAGAACACGAATATATGAATACCCCCAATTAACGCTCTAGTTACGCCGCTGCATGTGACTTACTTTCTTGTTGACAAGCAGTGTTGTACTGGTGAAGTAGTTTAAAAAAGAAGCTGGCACACGTTTTCACAATCTTCATTTTGTCACTCACTGAGAACGTGATAAAAGGAAAGCCGAGGGCAACAAGTAGATCCAGAGTGATGGAAGATATGGCTTTGTTAGGATAGGAAAGAAATGAGACTAGTAGCGTGGTATGCTGCCTCAGACAACGACCTACAGAAAACCTGGAAGCAGCAGAACAGTAGTTAAACATTATTATTTTCTGTTATGGCCACCCCTCAACAGCAATGATTTTTGGACGGTGTGGTCAGGAGCTAAGGTGGTACAAGCAAAAACGTCATGCATTTAAATGATTCAGTATTCCTTGCTGCAAGAATACGTCTTCTGGAAAAGAGCTCCACTTAGTCAACGGTCGCAACCTGAACAAAAACTGATTCTTGATGAACATCCCTACCAGATCTGACTGGATCCACCATTCTGATTAATTTATTTTGATATACACCTACCCTGCATAGTCCTGCCCAACAATCTTCTCCATTTCCATGAGTTGGTGCAAATTTTCTAAAGTTGTCTGAACCTGCCACAAAAAAATTGAAATCAAACTTTAGTCACAGAGATGGAAGCACATACACTAACTACACCGTGTCAGGGACCGTCGACAAATAGATTTCGTCCCGCATCGCGGACTTGGGCCGCGATGGGGGGGGGGGGGGGGGGGGTAGATTAGAATCCGCGATTACAAAATATTTGGGACGAAAACTGACTTTAGAAATATAATACGAAGATCAGAAGAAAATGTAGTACATTTTAAATAATATACTCACAAAATCGGGGATATAAATATTGCATTTGTGGACAATAAATCGGGTATTTATTTAAATTTTATGTTGCTTACAACTGCTAAACAATACGGAAACTAGTTTTTATTTATTACAAGCTCATTGTAATGTTAAAAGTCAGCATTACATAATGTATTCTTGCCTATAGTAGACCGCTCACAGTCATATTTCGGATAATATTTTGGACCATAATTTCGATTCTCTTTGGATTTTTTACTTGTCCGCGATGAGGTAGGGGGGAGGGGGTTCAAACAATCGCGGCCCAAGTCCGCGATGCGGGACGAAATCTATTTGTCGACGGCCCCTCACATACACTCCTGGAAGCCCAATTCATCTGTAGATACCTCAGTTAAAATATCAGGAGAAGACTTGATTGAGATTCTCTTGAGGCACTTCGACACAGCCAGATCAGGAGCTCTCGTGTAAAATGCTTGAACTTCCTTTTGTAGTTCGACGAACATTGATAACTGAAGAAAAACATCAATGTTGGGAAAAATGTCGATACTTTCATCAATCATACTGTGTTTTTCCAACAATATATACTACTTACATGTTGACTTGTTCGTTTGAAAGTAAGGATATAGTTAAAGATCTCAATACACGTTGCTGGGCCGGAGTAGACTGCTACGAGCGACAACAGCCTCAGAATCCACGATAACCTTAGAGGAGAAAGACAATGTTATGTTCTTTGAACATTAGGCTGTTAGAAACTTCTACTAAATTAAATTATAGTTGAATAGCTCCATCTCCTTAGAGTGGTTTGAATCCGTTACATTTATACAGGAGAGAGGAAAACCTAAACTAAACTAACTTTATTTATACTGGATAGCTCTATCAGTTGACTAAACTGTTCTTCCTAGAGATCCAATGAGGATCATCTCTTATTGATCCAGTGTTACTACAGGAGGAAACTTAAACTAAACTAACTTTATTTATACTGGATAGCCCTATCCGATGACTAAACTGTTCTTTCTCTAGAGATCTAGTGAGGATCATCTCTTATTGATCCAATGTTGCTACAGGAGGAAACAAACTAAACTAACTTTATTTATTCTGGATAGCTCTATCAGTTCTAAACTAAGTTCTTTGTAGGTTTGCATGACGATAAAACATATAATACTATTGGTTGTGGAAACACCAAGTAAATTTATTACCTTATCAGTTCTAAATTGTTCTTCCTAGAGGTCCAGCAAGGGTCATCTCTTATTGATCCAGTGTTACTACAGGAAGAAACCTGAACTATACTAACTTTATTTATACTGGATAGCTCTATCAGTTCTAAACTGTTCTTCCTACATCTCTTATTTGTCCAGTGTTACTACTGCAGAAAACTTTACCGATTGAAGTAACTGGAAAAGATCTGAAGCACTCGATCTCAAGAGTTGAACAGAAGCGCTCTTCTCACATGCGATTAATGGGGAAATTATAATCAGACAACGGTATATTGCAGGAATCTCATGGGCCAGCTAGGCTCACCTTTGGCCATCAGCGTTCAACAGTTGATCACAAAGTTCTTTCCACTTTTCTTTCAACTCGTTAAGGAACGGAATATCATTACTCGAATCCTTATTTCCACTCTGTCCAGTCCCTTTTCCGTCAGCAGAAGCTGACTCTGCTCGATGCTTTTTTGTGACGAGACGTTGAAGATGAATAAACACTTTTTCCTGGAGGAAACATTAAAATAAAAATGTGTTGAAAAAGAACCAAATTTTAGCACATATTTTGCAGTGTTAAAATATAATAAACCACTTCGAGTACACATGTAAAAGTCTGCAAGTTGTAACAATGCTGTTATTTTATCAAGTTGCTACAAGGTTGTCACTCACAACTTGTTGACAAATTGTTGAATTGCAGGACGATAACAAATTGTTGGAACAACTTGCAACAAGTCTGTTGAGCTCAACAACCTTGTAGCAAGTTGTGAAAAAGCTGTTGACAACTTGTCAACAAGCTGGAAACAAGCAGTGCGAACACATCCTGTTGACAAGTTGTTGGAACAGCATTGCTACAAGTCTGCTGCAGGTTTGTTACAACTTGTGCGTTTTTACGTGTGTATATCAGATATAACGTCTTAAGGAAGCAAACTGGAACGTGAACGACTTACTAATATCATAGCACTATAAAAACAAATATCTTGAATTTCTGTACCATCGCTCTCATTCGATTCTAAGATAAAAAATCCATAACATCAGTCACTGCACAACGCAATAGACGTGCATTTGTTGTCTTCCACATAGCCTGAAGAGCCAACTAAGACAGCCTACCTGTATTGGGCACAGCAATTGTGAGCAAATATTGAAAGGTTTTGAAGGTGCCATGTTTGAGAGAAATTACCAGACCAACAACAGATGATAACAAACTGCAATAGAGAGTGGTGTAGCTATAGTAACACTGAATCAATAAGAGAGATGACCCTAATTACTGGACCTCTAGAAAGTTTAGGACTGATGGAGGTAATTTATATACCTTGGCGCATGGTTTCCAGGGGCTGACCCCCATTCTGTCAACTGATAATGTACTTTCCTCATCACATCTGGAGTTACTGAAAGGATTGAGTAGTGAAAACTGTATTATCTCAATATCACATTTCAAGAATAGATGGGTTTCGTTCTTTAATTTTCATTCAACAAATTTTTTTGTGCAGTACTTACATTGTTCAAGAAAAGCAACTATCGTCACATTTAGTATATTTGCAGCATTCATACCAAGATGAACAAAGAATGGAATTAAACATGGCTGAGTTTTACTTTTTGTCCATTTTGGTTTGCCCAATTCCACGTTGTCTGTGCTCTCCTAAAGCAACAAACTGTATGAGGTTTTTCACACCACATTACACAACACCATACCACATCATACCATAACATGTACCATACCATACCATACCATACCATACCATACCACCCACACCATACCATACCATACCATACTACATACTACTGTATGACAGTGTATGTCATATACCACACCATACCATACTAACCATACATACCATACCATGTACCATACCATGTAGCATACCATGTACCATACCATGTAGCATACCATACCATGTAGCATACCATGTACCATACCATGTAGCATACCATGTACCATACCATGTACCATACCATGTACCATACCATGTACCATACCATGTACCATACCATGTACCATACCATGTACCATACCATGTATCATACCATGTACCATACCATGTACCATACCATGTATCATACCATGTACCATACCATGTACCATACCATACCATGTACCATACCAATATACCACACCAACTACACCATACCATACCATACCAACTATACATACCATGTACCATACCATACCACACCACACCACACCAACCATACATACCATACCACATACCATACCTGATAGCACAGCACATACCATACCACACACCACCACACCATACCATACCATACCATACCATACCATATCATACCATACCATACCATACCATACCACACCATACCATGCCATATCACACCATACCACACCATACCATGCCATACCATACCATGCCATGCCATACCATGCCATACCATACCATACCATACCATACCATACCATACCATACCATACCACACCACACCATACCACACCACACCACACCACACCATACCACACCACACCCATACCTGAAACATAGCTAAAACAGCATTTTTAACTTCTTCTGGATATTTTTGTGCAAAATAATCCAAAATCCTTATTGCTGTTCGAAAGAGATCTGAAAATTCATCGTCACAAGGTTCATCGCTATAAAACTCATTCATAGCACAGCTCAGGAGATGACTGATTATAGATTTATAAAAATACGAACTGAAACAAAAGAAATATAAAAAAGTAATATACCAAACTCTACTTCATAATTTACTCTGTCTAATGACAAACAATTTTACTCGTCAATGGGAGAGCACTGCAACTCAATGGGTTAAACACACACTCCAGTCATAATTAAATACATGTAGTGCTAAATTCTGTACATCTATTTATGTGATAGATTGTTCTGTAAGTGTAATTTAACCCATTTAGTGGCAGCACTCTCCTGTTAACAAGTAAAATCACCTGGCATTAGACAGAGTAAAATAGTGAAGTATGGTGCATCGGGACACAATGCAACTCGATGGGTTAAATAATTTCTTTTCTGCACATATACATGTGTGATAAAAATACATGCCTGGAGAACAGTCTTAAAATACAAACCCAATATAAGCGACAACCCAGTCAAAGTGAGGAGAGTGTTGAACAGCGGAGTCCAGGAGATACTGAATGCAGACATCAGGGTTTGTATCTATTCTGGAATGAATCAGAACAAAATTCAATTACAAAATGACTAATTATAATAATTAGCATCATTAGCACCATCAAAATGCAAGATTAGAAGAAATATGGAACAAATGCTCACTTTCCACTTACAATTTAGAAAAACATTGAGCAGAAATCTCCATCAACATTTGAGCAGCAGGACACGTCAACCACACTTGCAATCTCTCATTCAATGAAGTACTCGCTTTAGTTCCTGTTCAAACAACAAAATAGATGACAAACAGATGAAACAGCCGAAGGAACATCAACAGTCGAGTAGCTTGTTAGCTTGGGCAGACAAAATGTATGTGCGTAAAAAGGGCATTCAATCAGGAAAACATCAAAACCAAGTTGAACCAACCTCGTTGTGTGGCGTATTTTGCACTTAACTGGCCAAGAAGATACACTGACCACTAAAATCAATTCACAAAAAGAGAATTCTATTATTCTGTATGTTCAAGATTATTTAATAATTATTTCAAAAAGTCATAATCTAAACCATTAAGCTGCAGTGTATCCTGACACTCTCCCTTTGACAAGTAAAATAATTTGGTGTTAGACAGAGTAAAATGATAAAGTACAGTAAATTGGGGCACATTGCAGCTTAATGGGCTAAGTCAAGCTAACTCTACCTTGGTGACAATTGGCGCCCAGGCATCAGGGTTATTATTAATGAATTCCAACAATGTGTCATGGATATTTTCAATGACATCATATATTTCAGGATCAACCTCTGCCTTTTCTCCAGAACCTACATATTGTAAATACATGTGGGGCATTTTAGGAAGGACATAAACAGGAGAATGGGAATGTCCATTTATTTCCATTCAGTGATTCACAGTATACGAATGCTTCCACTTTGACTCCACCAAACACTGAAGATTTTCTCCAGGTATATTCAGGTCTACAGTAATCTGTATAGTAACACTGGATCAATATGGGATGGCTCTTACTGGATCTCTTAAAAGATCGGCCAAGAGCCAATAGAGCTATCCAGTATAAAAAAGTCAGTTCAGGTTTCCTCCTGCAGTAACATTGGGCCAACTTCTAAAGAAAACAGTTTGGAAATGATAGATCTATCCAGTATAAATGAAGTCAATTTAAAAACTCCCTTATCAACTCTACCTAACAAATCTTGCCTATCACTCTCAATGATATATTTATGCACGGCTTCCTGAAAGATCTCACATATTTGTTCCAACACAGCAGCTCGAGCGCACGGCAAACATCTCATCAATACGATAGCACTTTTTGTTCTCTCCAGGATATTCACGTTACCCCCAGGGCCTTTGCTTGGCAAGACAAATGATCGAACTTCTTGTAGAAGATTCTGTAAAAATTAAGGTAAGGTTATGTTGGTCACATAATCAATTAACAATATTGTATGCTTCAGTCTGCAACCTTGATTTAATTCTTCGGAACACTATTTTCAGAGGAATTATTACAACAGAGAGATGTTGTTTTGCTCAGCTTCCATATCGGATAGGTGCTTTTTCGCGCCGGTACAGAAAGCTATCCGGTATAGTATAAACATAGCCAAGTAACAGGTTTGACTACCATCACCTTAACCCTGCAATGAATTGCCTGTGAGTTAGTCAAACCTTGAATCAACACCCATTTGCACAAATATATATTGTTCATTCTATTTCAATCACTCCATCCTGTTCATACCTCCGATTCCATTTGGGCCATATTTTGCAAAATATCCTCTACTTCAACTGAAAACTTGCATTTCTTCAAAAAGTTAACTTGTATAAAACCTGAACTATTTTATAAAAAACAGGCAAAAATTTCATAACAAATATCCTGAAAAACAAAATTTCCAAAAAAAAATTAGAATTTTTTGCACAGCCAAATAGACTGGTACCAAGTAGGCTTGGAAACGTCATGTAGTACGCACCAAGTGGCTTCTTCTTCAATGATGTGGCCGAAATACAAAAATGACGCTTCAAGCGTTTGGCTTTTCCCGACGGTATTTCTTTCGATTTTACAGTATATAAGCGCAAATTTAACTGCAGAGGAATGTCGTTCTCTTGGTTTCACGCCAAATCTTTTGTGTAGTACTTGCGATGAGTTACCCCAGTTTAAATTGGAATCTCTTGTTGAGAATTGCAATGGCTGTTGTCAAGCTGATCAGAACGAAACAGCAGTTGAGAAGGTTTGTTTGAAACAGCTAGTGATGAAAATTAGATCTGTAGGAAGTGTTGTGGATGTCTGTGTTTTTTATTGCATAAATCTTGCGTACATAATAAACATTGAACAAAATATGTTTTGAAAACTTCTAATTCTAGATATTAACCTCCCCCCCCGGATTGTCTATTAAGGATCCTACCCTCCAATAGAAAAAGTTCTACAAATTAACATAATAAATAGGTTGATTTCTAAACGTATGGTATTTTATTTTATCCCCCTTAAAATGTAAAAAAGAGCACCCCTGCCGACCCCTCTGACAAAAGTTGAAAAATCTCCCCTCCCCCAAAAATATGTTTAAAAACTCCAAAGTGGCCAATGTTACTTTAGCAATAACCGCATCATTGCCTTCATATTTTACTATTTTACTAATGCCATGAAGAGACTGCTATATTAACTACACCATTATAATTCTGGTGAACATTATCCCTAATTATAACTTGTTTTGCTTATTTTCTTTAGTATGCCAAAGCTGTTCTCGAAGTGTGCAACTGAAAAATTGGGAGGTTCCCACAAATCCAAGGTTGATTAGTGCTTCAAAGAAAAGCTATTCTCTTTGTCTAGAAGGAACAATAAATGTATAAATTATGTATATGAATAAATTCCTTTTTGATTCATTGTCTTTCAGCATTTGTGCGGGGCGGGAAACGAAGCCAGTTTCCAAATCTAGATGTCAAGGTATTGAAACATAAATGTTGACAGCACCATCTGGCATTAGACAGATGGATTGATGAAATAATGGATTAATGTAAAAACTTATCTTTATTTCTACCAGTATCTACGAGGCATGGATCCTGTGTTGAAATTGTACGATAGCAATGGCGAAATGAAGGAGGAATTGAGGTATTAAGACTAATTTTCACATGTGACCAAGGCCACCGAGCAGGGAGCACATTGCCCTGGGTCCCCAGTCAAAAGGGCCCCCATTCACTTAAGAAATAGGAAATTTTTATGATGGAGAAAAAAAATTTATGACCCCTGAGGAAGATTTGCCCCAGGCCCCACGCTACCTCTTGACGGCCCTGTATGTGACCAGATAAATTTGGAACTAGTTGCAGATTTGTTGGTCCCAAATCAGCCAAAATTGTTTAAATTATTCTAGAGTTAATTGTTCAAAATTTATAAATTTATCTTTTAGCATTGACAAGTGGAATACGGACAGCGTAGAAGAATTTCTTAAAGAAAAATTGCAGTAAAATTTACGCAAGAAACTATAGATAGTCATACTTGATGTTGTTATATTTGATGAACATTTAAAGATCTATTGCTGTGATTATGAAAACACTGTATAAAACCATTCTCTATGGCATACAGTGTTGGATGCTGTGTTGGTATAGACCTTGTAATGTTCTTCACAATAAAGCATCATTGAAAACTCCTTGTGTCACTTTTTTGTCATCACTCATCAGATTTACAATTGTATTAAAGCCTTTTTCAAATAGACCTTTCCCCTTATAACTAAAATTTTGATCTAGACAAGTCTAGAGTCTAGACATTCCATCACAGCTTGAAAGAGCATCACAAAATTAGTAATATTTCGAAGTTTCGTTTCGAAATGTTGTAAAATGCGGATAATATAGCCTTGCGAAATTTGCAATTTTCAGTCATTTTGTATTACAAACGGGAAATTGATGCCCCAACACCCGACGATTGGGCTGTCAATTTCCCCCGCGTAATACAAAATGACTGAAAAACGGCAAACTTCGCAGTGCCATATTATCCGCATTTTACATCATTTCGCAACGAAACTTTGGAATATTACAAATTTTGTGATGCTCTTTCAAGCTGTGATGAAATTTTTGTCTAGATCAAAATTTTAGTTATAAGGGGAAAGGTCCATTCAACCGCTTAGCGGAGCCATAGCCTAGTTTCAACTAGCGTCACCCAAAACCTTTTGCTACACACGCAAAAACTTCACATCTTGTAACAAGTCTGCCAACAAGCCGTCAACAAGTTGTCTTCGCACTGCTTGTCACAAGTTGTCAACAAGTTTGGAACAAACTGTTAACAATTTGTAACAACCTTGTTGATATTATCAGGCTTGTTACAAGGTTGTTCCAACAAGTCCGATACAGTCATGACATAACAGTATTATTACAACCTTGTGTCGTCAACCTTGTAACATTCTTGTTTATCATAATTGTATCAGACTTGTTAGAACAACTTTGTGACAAGTCTGACAATGCCATCAAGCTTGTTACAAGTTGTTAACAGCTTGTTCTAAACTTGTTTCACAACAACTGGGAACAAGCAGTGCGAAGACAATTTGTTGACAGCTTGTGAAGTTGCGAAGACAACTTGTTGACAGCTTGTGAAGTGTACTCTGGTTGCCTTTCACAATCTACTTTGAATGAACGGATAATCTTAGGAGTTCATTGGCGAAGTAATTTAAAAATAAACGTTGTCTAAGCCGTAAAAATCAAAGCTAACGTTTATGTAAATGAACATGATTTTTTATCACATATCAAACCGCCGACATGGCAGTGATTTCCTTTGGCTTTTCTCATGAATTACTGAGTTTCTTAAAGGCAGTTAAAGCCAGGCTTGCAAATTATGTGGTCCGAGTTCGGATCCCAAAATATCTGCACCGTTTATCATCGCTATTCTGTCTTTGAAGTTGTTCAGAAATTTAAACGTGTGACCTCAAACCAGAACACAGGACGTAAAATATAATACCGCTTGTTCACGTTTGACGTCATCAATGACGTAAGAGGTAAAGAACATAATATTATGTCGGTTCCTGGGCAGTAAGGCCTATATGCCGAAAAAAGTCCCAAATATCCAAAGAACAATTAATAATGACATTCTAAAAATCGTAAATATAGTTTTCTCTGGGGGAGCCCCCCCCCCCCCCCTCCCCCCGCTGTGTGCGGCCCTGCTGAAAAATATATAGTATTCTACAGTAACTCAGTCAGTAAGCTGCCATGGTTTGTGTCTGAACTACCTGAAAAGCATATTGTATATTCCACAGTAAGCTTGCCATGGTTTGTCTAAACTACCTGAAAAAGATTAGAAACACGCAATTCATTTGTCAGAAGCTTGTAGGACCTTTTAATAGTTAAGACACAATTATTTAAAACAGCGGGCGTTCCCTTCCTGCAGCACGTTTGCGCCTCCCCGCCAGCCCTCGCACAACCGGCACTTACGTCACAGGAAGTTTGAGGCTTGCTGGTCAAAGTCTAAATCATATTCCATGGCAGTCAAAAACGCCTTAAACTAGTATGGCAAGCTTAGTTGAAGTCGAATTAGCATTCAGGGCAAACTACCAACGTTGTTTTGAAAATGTAATTCAATTCATTGGGTGTGGTTCGTGGCAAAAACAACGAACACAATAGAGATTGGATCCCCTGGTGAAAAAATCCTGCGTACGGCCCTGTTTTTCAGGTAGTTGACCGTAGTTCACACACAAACCATGACACACCATGCATCTCATGCACACTGTACTTCGACTTCGAAGGAAGAGGAAGAAAACTTTGTTGATGAAATATGCTTGCACGGAAGTAATCTATGACGCAAAATGAATAAATCAGTAAAATCACACAACAACTGATAGCATCCAAGCGACAAGTTTAAGAACTGCAAAAAGTTCCGTGAACAAACGTTTATTCAAAGATGTCTGTGGTGTGTATAAATCAATTTTATGTGTTATGTGTAGTGGTTGGGGTATCTCTAACAAACATTTTAGCAGCAGACTCCCAATGTGCTATCCCAGATACGGGGAAAACCGGTTCTAAAAACTCCGTGGTGCTATCGTTGTATCGCTGTTCTCAAGCGACTCCAAGCAAAGAACCTGTCTGTCTAACGATGCCATCAAGTCAAGATCTTTTAGAACAAGGCAAAGTGGTGGATTTAAAACACGACGTGAATGATTACGCTGTCACTGCGAAATTTTTCGGAGACGAAGTTTGCGTGGCCTACAGAGAGATTTCGAGTATTCGATCATACCGAAATGGTTATAAATATAACCGAACAAACGAATGCACTTCGGAGTGTTTTAAAGACAGCGAGTCTGAGACTTATGAAACGGAGTTGATTTGTAACCCACGTAGATGTAGCGGTGGCTGGAAAAAGTTCAGATTTGTTGTTGTCACTGAATCTGGAAGCGAATCTACCGTAATGTCGTTTCTCGTTTTAACCATTTGTGGAGTCTTGTCCTTTGGTTTCGCATCGTAACAGAAAAAGTCTTGAAAAGTGTAATGGATATACAAAAGTTGAACAATTTCAGAGGCAGTATATTCTGCACTGATTTTGTTGGTTTTGTACATAGTTTTGTACTAAAAAACATTGTGAAATGCGTGCATGGATATCAAAGCAAACATTTGAAAGTATAGATAGTTTAGGGGAAGACGTACGATGTTACTTCCTAGTCTGTTAAGTTATGATGATCTATCAAGCCCGGCAAACTTCAAAAACTGAATAGAAGAGCTTTGTTTGATCATGAATTGTACCGCACCGTGCACAAATCCTTTGTCTCAACTTCATTAAATATTATTCATCGTGGTTGCACGTTTTATCTCAGCTATCCCTATATGGTCTATGGGCTATTGAACGATTAAAACATTGCGGACTTCTGTTAAAAGTTTCCAGACGATCATTTCTTAATAGATTATGGTTACTTAACCCTTTTTACTTAGGCAATGTAAATTATAAAATTAATAAATGGACATTTAAATTAACATTGATTTGAAGTAGCCTCCTCCGAAGGCCTCTCTATGGGTTTTAGCCTGCGAATGGGTTTTGAAAAAAAGGAGGCTAGATTTGAAGACAGTATATACCGTGAATTCAAATATGAACGGCCGGCAGTCTGCCTTACGAAATTAGGGAGTCATTATATATGCTCTTGAATTTTACATGAAACCGCGACGTGAAAGTCAGACAGGGCCGAAAATCGAAATTCTCATAGACCGGTACGAATATCACAAATCTCTCAATTTATTCCCCTTGCTCGCCATTTTCTTTTTCACAGTGCTTTTGTGAGCATGCATAGTGTTCCGAAGCCAAGAGCACAGCCGGGTCCGATCTGAAATGTATTTGCGTAATTGCGTTTACATTACTGAATCCCGCTCCGAATTCATCCCCGTCTGAAGATAGTCGCTCAGCCTCTGGAGCAGCGAGCGGAATGACTTCAAACCGGATCGGAGAAATTTTTCGTCCCGGTGTCACAGGAGATTCGCCCCCCCAGGAGATTCGCCCCCCCTCTCAAAAGGGGGGCGATATTCCTAGGATATTCGCCCTCCCGGGGCGAATCTCCTAGGAATATCGCCCCCCAGGGGGGCAAATCTCCTAGGAATATCGCCCCCCTTTAGGAATTTCGCCCCCCCATATTAATTTTGAATTTTTGATCTAAAAACAAAACGATTGCAAGTTGAAAAGATTCATTGCGTGATTTATTACAAGGAGATAAAATTACATACAATAGCCGCCACAGTAATCACTTGCTAACAATAAACTATAGGATTAATAAAAAATCTATGGAATGTGTTGGGAAGCGTATTGACTATTGTCCGTTGAATCATCAACTTTCCATGTCAGTGTTAGTGATGTAATCTTGATTCTTGACTTCCGCAAAGAAAATTGCATTATATATGTGGTGTGGTTTATTCAAATAATTTCATGATACTTTGATTTTATTAGTGCTTTAGACATTTGAGAATGTAACTCTGCAAAACTAAAAGCTTTTTTGTCTTTTTTGAAACGTATATTATTGGAGTATTGCCTATTGGCAAGTTCTACCCTTCGCTTGTGAGATTTACAAACTATATTGAAATAATGCAAGTAAAAAATAGTGACAACTTATAAGCCACACATTTTCCAATAACGACAAAACGCGGATGCAAAACAATACCAATAATTACAATAACCACCACGGTGATTACTTTTTAACAATGAGTTTAAGGATTAACACTGAAAATGCAAAATATGCATGGTGTGCTGTGAAGCGTCATAAGTCCTATTGATCTACTGTAACTGTGTAAGCCCTTTCGATACACGTAATTGTAAATTTGCATTCTTACAGGACTTGAAATAACGTTCCTAAAGTTCCCGATCATGGTGATCGGCAGTCATGACTTTCCCTGCTTTTTTCAGGTTGGAAACCGAAACCCTGCTTTTTCGCCGATCATAAGCAATTCCTTGCCGATCATTGATCGGTGATCGGTTGTTATTTCAAGCTCTGTCCTAACAATTTTGAATTGATACTGATTTCAAATGAAGCCATGTAATAATTATCCCAGGCAACTGTTAGGAAGGGCGAAATTTTGAACGAAAATCCTAAAGAAAGAGTGAAGTTTCTAAAGG